GATTAAAATTCGATTAATTGAGCAGCCCTAGTTGGAGTTGTATTACATGTTTTAGTTTTCAAGCTGAACTGTCAGTAGAGTCGAAACTCGTCAAACCTGAAGTCTGAGGAAAATCTGTGTGAAGGGCTCCATCCGGACCAGGTAGGACGCCACAATCATGGCTGACGAGTAGTGAGTGCCGTAGTGGTACGCCGGGGTTTCACCTGGCAAGGCAAAAAGAGCTTAATGACATAGACCAGTACCGTGTATTTTATATTATATTTATGTATATTTAGTACAGAAATACATCTAAATAAATGTTATAAATGACTCCAACAAAAAATATGCTGGTGCAGGAAGCATCACACATTCAGGAGCTGGCAGGTTACAGACCAGCTAGTGTCTAATCCCACTGGGTCTGAGACAGTCACCCACCCGTCTGCTGGGTGGGTGACGACAGCTCAGGTTCAGTTCACCCTGCATGTTTTTTCTGGGCCTCTCCTGCAGGCACGAGGACCCACATAGTGAGTTTGTGCTACTAAAAGTCTGTAGATGATATTAACACACATGTATCTGCTCACAGAAACGTTATCTGATGGTCTCCTTTCCTTACCGTTGGGGTCTTCCCAGTCCTTGTACCGCTTCTTGTACTGCGTTAGCCGGGTGTCAGTCTGGGCGCCCATCGGCTTGGCGAGGTTACGAAATGTCTTGGGGTTGGTGAGGTCCAGCTCCTGGTGACCAAAAGCAACCCAAACATCCATGAAATCACCGCACTGCCCCCCGGTGGCATTCATATCAAAACTGGGGTATTTTCTGTTGTGGACACAGAAACATTAAAACAGCAGCAGATAAAATCTTCAGGCACCTCTGAGTCGTAATCGGCGAGGATCCAGGGGAACACCGGATACTGCATCAGGTCGTTGTAGGAGCGTCCGGCCAGGGTGTTCAGATGCATCAGGTACTGGAAGTTACTGATCTCTCCTCGCTACAGAACAAATGCACACAAACACATGTTGTTGAGCCGTGTGCTTTACTTCAAATCTGAAGTCAGACTAACAAATTCAGGGTCTTACCTCCCATCTCTGAGTCACTGACTTCTCACCGACCAGCGTGCTGAGAAGTCCAGATCTGACACAAACCAGGACAGAGGATGAGTCGTTTAAACAGCTCAGTGGACTTTTATTAATCATACACTCGTGATTTTACGTTTGTAGAGTCGTTATGTTGAGACTTAACTACAGAGGTCAGAATCTATTATTTATAAAAATGCTATGATGTGAAGGTGGATGTACCCTTGTTCCACGCTGGTGTTGGGTCTCTGGCCTGAGACAGACTCAGAGCTGTCAGCCAGCGAGGGCACCACCGCCAAGAACCTGGAAGAATCAAACACCACCTATTAATGTCTTTACAGCACAGAGACTCGTGCAACCTGACAACAACGGTGATATAGGGAGAGAAAAAAGCTTTATATGAGCAGCAACATCAATCTCGGCAAAATCCTCGACAGAGATCACGACAACAGACACAGATGATCACGGCTCTCCAGTAAAACCAGATTATCACTGAAAATAACTCCACCCTGACAACAACTCCTAAAACAGTAAGAAATGATCACTCGCAGCGTGTGAGTGTTGAAAAGAGCACAAAATGACAAGTTTAATTAAACTCTGTGACTGAAATGTGAGTCAAGAAGCTGCTGCTTTACATATGTATTCAGTACCTTTGGTAAACCTTGTTGCGAACTCCTTTCTGGAAGGCTAGCAAGTAGTTTCTCCCATCCGCTGAAAAGACTTCCACCGCCATGGGCTGAAAGAAGACGACGGCATACATGAGAGTCA